TGTAGGTTGAGCTCTTCTAAAAATTAAAGTTTTTGACAGAACTAACATTTTTGATAGATTTGAACTTATCAATGTTCTGATCCCTCCAAGACTAATTATTGGGAACTCATTTACGTTAAGAAGTTCTTGATAAGAACAACAGACTGAAACAATTTAAAAGTTCCCAAATTTGCCAAACTATTGGAACATAACTCCAACCCAAAAGATAATAATTATATAAGAGTTTCAAATTTAATCATTGTGGTAGGATTCTTTATGAATTCACAGTGTTAGATGAAACTTGAAGAGATTATTTCCGGTGAATACGTACCTGTTTTTGAAAAACAGGTGCATGAAATTTCTCAAGTTTGATCGTCCTGGGCAGTGTTCTGTATGGATATACAATGTTTTCTTTGGTTTGATTTATAGACATTATTTTGTTTACACGATACATGTTATGTTTCCGAAACATGAAATTTGTGAATTTGATCGTTGTAGGCATAAAATTCTCTATACATATGCAGTGCTAGTTAACTCAGACTTATAGTGTCTTAGCGTGTCGCGCTTTCCTGTTTTGTTGCAGAAGTGAGAGTTCTGACAGCGAGCACAAGAAGCATGGCAAGCATAAGAAGGTCTGCTTGAACAAATTTTGCACATGATACTTCTCTTAAAGTTCTCAGCTAAAGGTGCCTTTCTGTTTACAGTCTAAGGGCAAGGAGCGGAGCAAGAGTCATCGCCATAAACGGCATAAGAACAGAGAGAAAGAGGTATGATACAATACAAAAATACGATATTAGAAACTGCAGTTGTTGATGGCTGGATGGTTACATGATATAGTTCAATTCGCTTGTTGATTTATATTTTCAATTGCTGTCTTTAATATCTAATCTATCCAATTCCAAGTTACTTATAATATTTTTTTGCCTGCTCTGTGGGCTCTTCGAACTTGGAGCTGGGGCTGGTGACATGATCTACTGGGGCATTGTTGATTTTTCTGGATTCTGTTTCTTGGGGGTCGGGTTTTTCATCATGGCATTGTGAGTCGTATAGAAACAGAAGGAAGATGAAGGAACCAGTGGGCCTGTTCAGCTATCTAAGGTACCAAGCCATATTAGACAAATCCAAAATCCATGGAAAGTCCATCCTCTTATCATTTTCATCCTTTTTCCCGTCGTTTTCCAGTTCTTAGGCCGTGACAAGGATGATGGCGTGCGTAGAAGTGTTGTCTCGGGCAAAAAAGTTAGTCCAGACACTCTCTCCTCCCATGAAACAATTCTCTACTTGCTCATGTATTTTTCACTACAGATTCTGTTGAAGCTCGACAAGTCCAAGGAGGACAAGGTTGCAGAGAGCAAGAGAAGTGAACTGCTCAAGTTCTTGAATGCAAGTTTTGATTAGGTTTTCGCCATGATAACAAGGTTGGAGAGAGAGCAAGAGAAAATGTAAGATACACTTCAACCTAATTCTACTAGGAAATCATGGATTAGGTTACATAAAAATGGAAAATGTTTTCAATTATATGAATATCTAATCAGCTGTTTGGTTGCCAAGGTTGTCTATTTGATCTTTGTTCCAATGTACACACTAGTGATGGAAATCTCCTCTAATAGATCCCCCATAATACAAAGTTCGGTGCTTGTCAACTGTTATGAGTGGTAAAAAAAAGCCAATGCATGTGAACTTCATGAAAGCTGAAAATGGTGAAAACTGTTATAAATGGTCAAAAAGGACAGTGTCAGCACACAACTAACTCTTCCATCCTTTTGTTGTTTCATTTACTTCTGCATTCACTTCCTTCAACGTCCAAGTGATTCAAATTTTCTCTTGGGAAATCTTACTTGTTTGAGAAGGATATAGTGCCTATTCCGAATTCCATTCTCGGCTCGAGATATCGGGATTTATATATCGGTTTTAGATCCAAAAGATTAGTCGGGCCAAAGGGTCGGATATCCTTATAAATTTTAGTAAATAAAATCTTGATTTGGATCAAATGTTGTAAGCAGGTGATTGGATTTGAAGAGTTTCCAGTTTTAATTAATGAAATAAAACTTGGGTTTGCGTTATTTGCATCCAATTTACCGAAAACACAAACAGCCATAAGGGGCCATGCATGCATCTTGTAAGAATACAAAGCACGAAGTTTGATGTCATAAATGGAGAGTGAAGTGGTGAAAAGGTTAGGGAAGAGAGAAACTTGAATGTGAAAAGTGAAAAGTGAAAAGTGAAAAGTGCTTTCCCAATTCAGAAAGTAAATTCTCATGCACACTCACCTAACTCCTCACATTTTAATGATAACTTTTCATTTCAACTAATTCATTGTACCAGAAAGAAAAACTCACATGCTGCCGATGATTACACGAAATTCAATGTTACCATTGCAGTTAATTTCCCCCCTTCAATCCTCTATTTATACCGCATTGAGATCACTCCATAACCACATCCATCAATCTCCAAAATAAAAAATACGGTGAGGCAAAAAAAAAAAAACAAGAGTGAAAAAAATGGAAGGAATAGAGCATAGGATGGTGAAAGTGAATGGCATTAACATGCACATTGCCGAGAAAGGTCCCAAGGAAGGTCCCGTGGTGCTTCTTCTCCACGGATTCCCCGACCTGTGGTACACGTGGCGCCACCAGATTGATGGGTTAGCTTCCGCTGGTTACCGGGCCGTCGCTCCTGACCTCCGTGGATACGGCGACACAGATTCGCCGGAATCTTTCTCGGAGTACACGTGTCATCACGTGGTTGGTGACTTGGTGGACCTTATCAACAGTCTTGGACAGGACCAAGTGTTCCTCGTCGGACACGACTGGGGAGCTCTTGTCGGGTGGTATCTCTGTCAGTTTCGGCCTGACAAGATTAGGGCTTACGCGTGTCTGAGTGTGCCGTTCCGCGCAAGAAACCCTAAGATCAAGCAAGTTGATGGGCTGAGAGCAGCGTTCGGAGAGTATTACTACATCTGCAGATTTCAGGTTCGTTTTCTTCTTCGATTCCATGGGCATAAATACAATGTAAGCATGTGAATATTGATGCAAACAGATCTCTTAAAAGGGTTTATGATCATTATTCTTTTACATTGTGAATTTGAAGGCACCTGGGGAAATTGAGAAAGAGATAGATTGCGTGGGGGCAAGAAGGATTCTAAGGAAGATCTTGACGAGTAAAAATCCCGGTGCGCCATTTCTGCCTAAAGTGAATCCTTTCGGGATAGATCCTGACCCTTCACGTGACCCTGCATTGCCTGCTTGGTTTTCCGAGGAGGATCTCGACTTCTACACCAGCCAGTTCGAGAAGTCGGGTTTTACCGGTGGACTGAACTATTACAGGGCCATGAATCTGTAAGTTCTTTCTTAGCCTTGAATCTGTTCAAGTTCCGTTTTCTTTTTTTTCTTTTTTTTTGTCTTGATGGAATTGAATAAACAAGAAGTTGAATCTGAATTCTTGACTTTGTTGCAGGAACTGGGAGCTGACAGCGCCGTGGACGGGAACTAGAGTCAAAGTGCCTGTGATGTTCATGGCCGGCGATTTGGACAATGTCTACACAACACCAGGAATCAGAGAGTACATCCATGACGGTGCGTTTGCTTCAGAAGTTCCCAATCTTCAGGAGGTGGTTGTAATGGAAGGTGTTGGTCACTTCCTCAATCAGGAGAAACCCCAAGAGACCACTGCTCACCTCATTGACTTCTTCGCCAAATTTCAGGACAGCAATGGAGTTTAGCTCTTGCTTATGATCGTTGTCCCTTTCATTTCTTCTACTTATCTCGTTTAGTTGATTGTTGCATCAGAACTATCATTACACATCAGTCACATGGTGAAACCCATAAAAAAGGTGGAAGCTTTGAACGCAAAACTGTGAGCAAACATCATCAATGTCTGAAACAGGATTAAGACCACAACGAGTTTTCTAACAAAATTTGGATTCGGAAACAATCAGGGAAGAACGACAATCTTATATCAAGATCAAGAGCGGACAATGCCCTAAACTTTGAATCCACGGCTCTTTCTCCTTCCTCTGGCTCTCTCAAACTTCCTTCCCTTGGACCGAACATACGGCTTTGTATGGCTGTGAGGCACACCAGGTGCTGGACCAAAGTGCTTCACCGCTTCACGAGCGTTCTTCGGTCCTCTAAGAAGAACCTGAAGGAGCATAAACTTATCCGGTAAATATACATAAGCCTTACAATCTCAGCTTGTATTGAATGGTACAAGTCAAGAACAATACCGTATTTTGACCTAAAGGAGCTCTGAGTGCAAGCTGATCAAAGGTTAAGCACTCCCCACCAGCCTTCTCGATACGAGCTCTGGCTGTCTCTGTAAACCTCAAAGCCGTAACCTTCAATGCAGGAACCTCGTAAACTCTTACGTCATCAGTCACAGTTCCAACTATTACACCAATCTGGTCTTCCTATAAGACAGGAATACATAAAGAAGCCGTTCAGAACACATAAAGCACATCTAAGGAGCTAGAGGATAGATAACAGTGGTCTGTCAAAAAAGAGGAATCTTGTGATAGATAATTGGGCAGTGCTGTTATCTTATGCCTAGACAACAGATCAGACAACATGAGGAAGTGTACCGGCAGAATACCAACTGCGGCACCTATTTAGCTAAATGAAACTTGTAATTAGATACAGGATAGTTCACAAAAGAATGTATGCAACCACTTTCAGCAAAGCTGAGGAATACAGAAGCTATTAAGCATAAGCACAGTAATTTATGGTGATGCAGTTCTCGGCTTCAAATGGTCCGCACGTATAATAACACAGACATGAAAACAAAACCGATATTCAAACACCCAGCTTTTCAAAGACATTATGGTCTTATAACAGGGGGAGGGGTTCATTGTACACTAAATGTATGGCTAATCCATAACCTCTGATCATATATGTATAAACATATGTAAAGTCTTAAGAGGTTTAGATATGGAGATTCTTATAATCGAACCTTGCCCTGCATGAATCTGACGAGCCTAGAGAGAGAAAGAGGAGCTTTGTTGACTTTGCTCATGAAAAGCCTCTTCAGTATCACCGCATTGAAGTTGCTTCCAGTTCTCCTCACCAGAAACCGGTAAAGCTGCATCATTTCAACAGATCCCAATTCTCATAAACCAATGTCCCCGACGATCTACCAAGACATTCTAGAAATTCTACCAATATAAACTCAACGATAAGGGAGAGAAAGAGCAAACAGATGGTTGGTATGTTTCTGACCTTAACAAGAAGCTTGAGGTAGACATCATCGGACTTCGGTGCTGTCCTTTTGGTCTTCTTGCTCTTACCTCCTGCGATCAAATCAATACCCTGTAACACGAACAACACAAATAAAATCAACCTCGGAAGCAATTAAACCCTAATCGATATCTCACTCGAGATCCAGCCAGCATCCCGGAAACAGAGATATCACAGTAGGTAGAAAAAACCAAGATACCATGCTTCGAAACCAAAAGACCCCGAACTATGATCGAGACAACCACCCACCAAATCAAGCTCAAAATCTGAAAACTCGACGAGAAAATGAAAACCCGGAAAATGGAGATTAAGAGAAAATGCAGAAAGAGAGAGAAAGAGCCGGAATCACCATTGCCGCGCCTGGAGTGGGGACGCCGTCGAAGCTTCTGCCGAAGAAGGGAGCTTAAAACTGAAGCTAGGGTTTAAAAATGAGATTTATAATAGAAAACCCATGCAGATTTTAGGGTTTATTTCTCCATCTACAAATTATGGGCCTTAACCCGACCCATTTTTACTTATTTAACATTTCGAAAAAAGCCCTTGGGCTTTATTTATATCGTGAAGAAGCCTGTTCGTGGCATCTTATAATTCTTATTTGGACCAACATATAAACCAAAGTGTACTTGTAATATAAATACGGAAGACATCTATGTAAATTATATTTGACAAAAAAATATAATTAATTGATTGTTATATATCGATTCGTTTTTTTTTCAAATCCAGATTAAAATTGCGTTTTGACTGATATAATCTTATTTGTATGATAAATGAGAATTTCATATTTTCCTGCTTGAATAATCTGTTGTTTGAATCATCTTTATACACTATAATATTCAGGAAAAAAAAACATTTGGAAAATCAATTTACATAAAAAAATGGGTTGACCAATAATCAACTTGTCATATGATGAGTATTTAATTTGGATATCCCAATCAAAATGAGATTATATATATAAGTTGAATTCTATTTAAAAATAAATTAATCGAATTCAAAACAAATATAACTGCAAAAATTAAATGAAAATAAAACATGTAAATTATATATTTTGAAAATAAATCAAATTCAACTTGAATAAATTCTTTATTAGACCAGAATCAACATAGAAATCGAAAAAAAAAAAGTTTTAAAACTGAATAAAAAAATCAGTACAAATGATAAGGGATATTAAAAAATAATCACAATTTATTAACAACCGGATAGGAACATGATGGGCACACATGTCCGACTCCCACACGTATGTATACTCATCATACAACCATAAAACCGAACTTTTCAAAATACGCGGTTTCTCCTCCGACAGCGAATTAAGTGAATAAAATTAAATTTTGTTTATCATAAGAAAAAAAAAATATAAGATATTTATATTATTTATTCATGTGTCTACATAGGTGGGAGACTACTTCGTTTGACTGCTTCCAATCAGATTTGTACACGTGTCATATTAGGCTAGATCCACCTCCACCATCACCACCACTATCATCAACATTACCACCACCATGACCATAGCTTGCCTTTGAAGGTTTCAAAACCCTTTTGTGCTTTTCATATTGACAACTTCCCCCACGGTTTTCAATCATTTGTAATTCATTGGATTCGTTTAAAATCAGAGGATTTCGTAAGGGAAATTTGTAAAATGATATGTTAATTAATAATTGCAATGATTATATTAAAATGACATTTCGAAGCCACATGAAAAAAAAAACAATTTTGTATTTTAAACAATGCATTTGTGGTTATGTAGGGCGAAATTGAAAATATATATGCTTTTTATTCCCCAAAATACCTTTATTTCCGGCCTTAAAAGTACACGCACAAGACATATTTGTTGTATTGTGCTGATGCTGCAGTAAAAAAATATTATTATAGGAAAAAATTCAAATAAAAAGATTAGTAAAATTTTAAGTTGATTTATGTGATCAATAACCATTTTAAAAAACAGTGCTTAAAATGAAATCCCAAATTTTCTGACGAGAAAGAGAGAGAAAGAGGACAAGCCATTTGCACCATCTGTTTTTATCTCCTCAATATTCTAAAGCTGAAACCTTTTTCTCTTATTATTATTTTTTAAATAATTTTTAAATATTTCCTTCAGATTGTTCTGCCTCTCTTATCTTTGTCCATTTGATCCACTTTCTTCCTCTGAATTTTAGACTTTTGATTTCTTCTGGGTTCTCCTTGTTTGACCCTCTATTTTGTCTCCTCTTTGTTGTTTTTTTTTCTCTCGGTTTCCCTCATTTTCTCGGGATATTCAGGGAAAGCTTTGTGATTTCTGTTCAGCTCCTCTATTTTTCGTGGTGTCCAAACACGACCCGTTGTTCCTGGGTTGTTTTTGCGCAAACCCTTGTGTTGATTCTGGATTCTGCTGTGAAAAGTTGGGATCTTTAACGAAAGGAAAACGATGATGATGACGATGGAAGGGATGATGGATAAAGGGGTGTTGGATGATATTATAAGGAGATTGTTGGAAGGAAAAGGAGGGAAACAAGTTCAGCTATCGGAAAGCGAGATCCGTCAACTATGTGTTAACGCCCGACAGATCTTCCTCTCTCAGCCCAATCTTCTCGAGCTTCATGCCCCCGTTCGGATCTGTGGTCTCTCTCTCTCTCCCCTTTTCTCTCTATCTCTATGTGATAACGATGATGGTGGTGGTGATGTGGGTTTGAAGCTGTTGCGTGATTGATTGTGAAAGATGACCAGTTTGATATGTTCGACAAGATGGGGAAAACTGTGCTGATTAGGGTTTTTATCCCTGTGGACATGTAATGGATGAATGTTTCAGCATCTTGGTGCGTGAATTTGCCCGTCTAATTGGCATTAGGATCATTTAAACGCCTCTCTTTCTGACGTTTCTCCAAAATCTATAAATGGCATTAGATTTCCTCCCAATGCTTCAAATTGGGTTTCCTTGTTGGTAATGCAGGACCGTAACTTTTGCCTTTAGATGTTATGTCAGAACTCTGAAGAAAAAAGTTTTGAATTTGAGGGATTTAGGTTTTGGATAAAGTTCTGGTATATGTGCACATGAATGTGCTCAGATTTTGGTTTATGCATACGTTCATTGTCATTTGCCCTTACGTTTCGTTTGATCATAATCTCCAACAGGTGATATTCACGGACAATACCAAGACCTTCTGAGACTATTCGAATATGGAGGCTATCCTCCATCAGCAAACTATCTCTTCCTCGGCGATTATGTGGACAGAGGCAAGCAAAGCCTTGAGACAATATGTTTGCTCTTGGCCTACAAGATCCGGTACCCGTCAAAGATCTATCTCTTGAGAGGAAACCACGAGGATGCCAAGATCAACAGGATTTATGGGTTCTACGATGAATGCAAACGAAGATTCAATGTACGCCTTTGGAAGATATTCACCGACTGCTTCAACTGTTTGCCAGTAGCCGCCCTTATCGACAACAAGATCCTATGTATGCATGGAGGGTTGTCACCAGAATTGGAAAAGTTGGGGCAGATAAGGGAGATCCAAAGGCCTACAGAGATTCCAGACAACGGTCTTCTCTGTGATCTACTTTGGTCTGATCCTGATCCTAAGATCGAAGGCTGGGCTGATAGTGATCGAGGCATCTCTTGCACGTTTGGAGCCAATAAAGTTGCAGAATTTTTGGATAAGAATGATCTTGACCTCATTTGCAGAGGCCATCAGGTAAAACCAAATTCCTGGAGATATCAAAGTAAACCATTCATATTAGCTTTGCATAAATTTCATTTCATATTAGCATACCTCTCAATCTTTTGGTGTAATTCAGATTGTATGAATTTTGATATAAAGCAAGAGACTTTTTAGGTAATGAACAACTATTCATTGATCACCGCTGGTACAAATGATTATTATGACAACTTCAGGTGGTGGAAGACGGATACGAGTTTTTCGCGAAAAGGAGATTAGTCACTATATTTTCGGCTCCTAACTATGGTGGAGAGTTTGACAATGCCGGTGCGTTATTGAGTGTGGACGAGTCTCTTGTTTGCTCCTTTGAGATTCTGAAACCCGCCCCAGCTTCAAGCAGCAGTGGAGTGACTCTCAAGAAGGTTTGTTTCTATCTTAATACTAAAGATTATACCCCTATTGTTTATCTTTAGTGATAGCTAGCCAAAGAAAGTAAATTTTGAACCTTTTCAAACTTTTGAGGCCGAACCCTGAATTTCAATCCAGAAATATGACCATTATCATCATCATCAGAATCTTCTGGTTTAAGATCTTCCCTTCTCGTTAATATGGGCTACAATATCCAGAAACATTTCTGTTAAACTCAAGTTTTTTTTTTGGAAAAGCTGAACTCTTTGGACCCTGCAACAGAGTTCTGAACTTCAGTTCCGAAATCTGAATAGGAAAGTTAGAAGAATTAGGCAGGAGGATCATGACAATGCGCTGTTCTGTTTTGCTTGTCTCTGCAGATCTAACTTCGATTTTCTTGACGGATTTTGTTTGTATCAGGTACCCAAAATGGGAAAGTCATGAAAGTCATAGGCTTTTCTCTTGAGATCTGTACTGTACCACAGCTCAAGGTAGACATGAAATTAAGACAGCCAGTTTCCTCTGTTTATGTCTCTTCAGTTATTGGTGATTGCAATGAAGAACACAAAGGCTACTTAGTCATCAGAGAAGACACATGTAAAAAGAGAGAGAGGACAAGGCAAAATCAGTTTTTTCTTTTTCTGTGTATATATGCAGAAAGAAAGATCTCTCTTCTGCTTCTGGAGATAACCTATCTCCTTTAGTCTGTTTCTTTTCTCTTTGTGCCTTATTCAGCAAAACCCTTTCGCATTATCATGAAAATTACCACGTTTCTCATCGTTCACTGAATCTTTTAGTTACTGAATCTTTTGTCTCAATGACAGATCCAACCATGATTCATGAACAAATAAACATGGATTTAAAAAAAAAAAGCAGGAACAAACACATGTTCTTGTCAGGAATCAGTGTTGTATTGGCGAAATTTTCAGTTTTTTAGTACATTTGAAATGGCTGGGGATCATTACCGGGCACTTGTCCTGCGGTAGAGATGGAAAGCCCAGACCTTTTCTACATCAGAGAACAGAATTACAGAACTAAGATGATGTAAGTAACAGATAAAGACAGTTTTTGGCTTCAAATACATGTTAATCATGAGGCAAAAAAAAGATAGCATAATGCAGCTATAGGAATAGGATTTAACATCATTGATAGTTAGCAGCCTTTAACAACTGACTGGGAAAAGCAAAATTGCAATGTAGAAGGCAAATGCATTGGTCAAGGCATTATTGTAATTTTTACCATCAAAATTGAACTAGATTCATTTAGATTAAGAAGACAACCGGAAAAAACGTTTTAACAGCAAGATTCTGATCACCAACGTATGAACCCAAAACCGAGAAATTCAATTCAACATCGGGTTTCTTTCATCTTCAGAACAACCAGAACAGAACCCCAAAAAAAGACAATGGCTTCGATAAGCTTTGTTTGTCACTAGAGCAACTTAACACCAGCTTCTCTGATCGAATCAATGACCGCCTTGACCTTACCGTGATACCTCTGATCTCTATTCAAGTTTATGGAAACAGCTGGAATACCTTTCATCAGAAGGCGTTCTCCGAGGATTTTCCCTATCTTTGCAGCAGCGGCCACGTCCCGTGTGGATTCCATGCCTCCCCTCAGGGCTTTCTCCTGTGAGCTCGCCGAAAAAGCCACTGTGGCAGTCGGCGAATGCATGACTTGGGCATGAACAAACTTGTTTGTGAAATGCATTTTAAGCATGTAGGGTTTGAGGAAATTGACCAACGGCAATGGTCTTACTGGTGGTGGAATCACCATTTCTGTCTCTGCAAGAAGAAAGAAAACAACACAAGCAAGGACAACGTGTAACAACATCAGAGTTCGAAGGGAATACCGATTTCACTAACCCTCAGAAGTTGATGTCCAGGATTAGAGGTTGATTAAAATCTCATCTCACAATCCATTATCCATACATTCACAGTCACCCATTTCACATGAAGTAACATGATCTATATCATCTCTGAATCTCTGACTAGGTATGAAAAATTGAATGTAAATGCATCCCCCTGAATAGATAATTTGAAGACAATGGCAAATTTTAACAAACCCATTATCGAAAGGTTTGCAGGTTCCACAGAGAGTGCGAAGACAAATCCGGTGAAAATATCACGTGAAATTATGATTTTTAGAACAAATGGCAATGTCATCCACGCTAATCGTTGATCAGACATATCTCTCCGAGGATTTTCAAATTTCTATGTCCGAAACCCAAAACCAAAAACATATAATCTAAACTTTCGTCCCTTCGTCTCTAAAGCAAAAGCGTTTCACTTCTTTCAGGCATTTCATCGAACGGCTGGCGCGCCAAAACTAAAACTTGGAGATCAGGTGTCCGACATAAGTCCAGCGAACCCGAGTACGAAAAGTGCAGCAGAATTGAGATGCAAATGATCCCTCAAAAACAAATGAAATAGAAAATAAAGTATCCCATTCAGAAAAAATATGGAGAATTTCCAATACAATTGATCAGATTATCAGCCTACATTTATGGGATGGCACAATCAAAGTCCCTCACTTCAAGGCAGAAAAAGTAAAACACAAAGAAACAACTTCGAGGAAAGATAGAGACAATGACATTTGGAAATTTAGCTTACCACTCTGACAATCTGATTAGATGCGAGGGAGAAGACGAGTTCGGGAAGATTTCCGTCGTCGACTTGTCGTCGCCGCCGTCGTCTATGGAGCGACGTAGCAAACCAGGGGTTGTCTCCACATGAACAATATGTGGGCTTCACTTGGCCCATGGGCTTCAAATAAAATTAACTATCTATGAAAAGTTATTGGATATTTTTTCTAGAATGGGAAAAAATGTTATTTTATATTATTTTAAAATCTTTATCGATATTACAATTATCTATATTAATATTTAATGTTATTTATAACAAATTTATATTCAAAGTTGTAAAATTTAAATTCAAAATTAAATTTTAATATTTTTATCATAAAATAACTAAATTTTTATCTTTTGAAACTCCACATTAAATATAATAATTTGATGTACTATTGTGGTTGTTATTATTGTTATTATTACGTGTCACCGCAATTTTTGTTTAAAATTTATTTGTATACAGTTTTCCCTTATTCGTATTATTCATTTTACGGCCATATATATATATATATATAAAGTTAGAATTAATGTTGTCTCTGGACAGCAATCTATATATATTGCATATGCATATAAATATGTATATGTATCATGCAAGACATTTTGAATTTAGCTACCTCCTTTTGGCTTTATTGAGTACGAGACGGAATATACTTGTAATATAAATATTATTTTATGGTGTTTCTTTTAGTGTTAAATTTGTTTTCCATTACTATTATTGATTTTTGTTTGTTTGTTTGGTTGTGGGTGTGGGTGTTGGTCAGAAACAGACAGAAGAGAACAGGAGTTGATGGCAGAGGAAAAGAAAGAATCCCCCGCTTTCTCAGGCCCAAAGTATCCAACTTTGCTTCACCAACCTTCCCTTTCACTGTCATCAATGTACTCTTCCCCTCTCTCTCTCTCTCTCTCTCTCTCTCTCTCTCTCTCTCTCTCTCTCCACCTCTACATACACACATATATACATGCATGCACATAGACACATATGTATGCACATGAAATACCCCATATACATGCAAGGGTATTTTCTTTTGTACGTTTGAGCTGGTCTACAATATCTTGTTTCATTTTATCTGAATGATTATTTTTAGACAAATGGTGTAATTTAGCAACTAAAGACAACACCATAGTACTTAGTTACAGTTTGATTTGATGTATAAACAAAATAGGAATTATATATGTATTCATACACACATATACATATAGACATCATATATGTGTATGTATCAATATGCATACGGGCACACTATATCGATTAGGAGTTGTAATGTACACGACAAGAACCCATGTTTCAAAACTATACACACGAAATATTTAGTTAGTTCAAAACCCAACATATAGAAGTTAGAAACGTATACGTATATATATACACGTATACATATATAGCCATCAGCTTGGAAAAATATATATTCAACATCCTCAAATAATTGGATGTATACACACACACACACATATATATATATATTAAAGCAATACGATTAACATAATAGAAACGCCATCGGATATATGCACGAGACCAAAAAGAGAAATAAAATGGAGACAAATTACCTTTAATTAATCAATGTGGGAGTATATATATTCGACCGAGAATTGAACTTGAAGGCATAGGCAATGGAACGATGGCAGAAACCAAAAGGGCGAGAGACACATGTTGGAGAAGAAGAACACGTGCGAACAAGAACAGATAACAGATCTCGTAGAATTCGCACGTGCCCTGCTTCTCCAGCAAGAGTTACTCGCCTGTATATAACATCTTCGTAGTACTTGTTCCGTTACTGTTAACTATACATATTATAGATACACACAAAAATGCACGTTCATATGTATATATACGTAGATATGTGTGTATTTGTATGAGATCACACATGCATGTATATATATATGCATATGGGAGAATTTGATAACTTGTATATATATGTATGTACCAAGGATGAGGATGAGGGGGCAAGATAGTTCTGCTGCCTCATTTCTGTATATATAGTGGCTGTCTGTAGGGGTGTTTGGTGAAAGGGGGCAAAAGTGATATACATACATATATATATATATATATATATAGATATATAAATGTACATAAGAAAATTCAAAACAAAATGGAAAAGGCGAATTAAAGGCATTGAGTATTGGAGTGGAAATTCTTTAAATGTGGATAAGAAGTAAAATGCAATCATATCAGCAAGTCTCTCAATTAATAATGCTCTCAGTTCTTCAATTTTTTTCAACATATATACATATATTATTAGACAGTTAAAATTGGACTGCGTAAAACAAGATTTGACCTTTGACTTTGACAATGGGTATCAGAAAAAAGATTTTGTTAATATAAATGTTATTTATATTGGGTAACTTGTAACAATAATATTATTACGTAATATATTAATTAAAAAATGTCCCGATGAGCAAAATGTATGTATAATGCTATAGACCTACGGTTGTCTTGTGTTGGGACAGTTTATGTCTACTCCTACGTGCCACCGAATCCAAGCGACCGTCTTAACTCTTCCATCCGAATTTAACTCCGCAGTGACGTCATCTCATCATTATACATTTGAGTGTATAGTCTATATATTTTTACGTAGATTTTTAAAATATAATATCTATTGGATTCATGTATTACTATAACCTTATATGTATTATTATACCAAGTTTCGAATGGCAATGAAATGTTAAATTTTCAATGAATAAGATGAAATATTTGTTAAGATAACTTTTTAAAAAAAAAATATTTTTAAGCAGAACATCATTCGATGATTTGATACCTAGTTATTATTGTAGAGAGATGAAATATAATAGCTTGTAAAAAAGAAAAAGAAATAAAAAAATCCCACGAATAATCATGGCATCTTATTCAATTAAATTCCATAAAATAAATACACGGTGCCAATAATAATAGTAATAAGATATAACCTTTAGTTTCAAGTAATATATACGAACATTATCATAGTATGGAAAATACTTCATAATAGTATATTATATTGTGTATTTTTCCTTTTAGAAATAATATTAATGTATCAAGAGATAACATAGGTGAGTGTGTGTGTGAAAGAGAAAAGGAGGAGTATGGAGAGGAGAAGTGAAAGGAGAAGCTGTGAGAATGATGGATTTGAGAGAGAGAGAGAGAGAGAGAGAGAGGGTTGCGTGTTCGACGCGAGTTTTTATCTCTCTCTCTCCATCCACCACGGGAGGGAGGATGCAGAGTTCCAATGTGGATGTGATTCTTTCTTTTTCACCCCCAAACACTTTTATCTCCGAGTAATAAAACAATGAACCCTCCATATATATATATATATAATATCATCCAAATATATTTTTACATATTCTTTTATGGATGACAATTTAATTGAGATGATATCAATGTGAGATGTTGATACCACATGAGTTAGGCAAGTTTCACATTGAAAACTTTTTATATATATAAAAAATGTTCCATGTAAAATATATTTACATAATATATATATATATATATATATATGTATGATGGGTGTGTTTGTGGTGCAGGACACTGGCTGTGGTGGGTACAGTGAGATAGGAGTGAGATGTCGTAGCAAAACCCCCATATTTTCTGGTGGGGTTTTCCCCCTTCTGACATGATGGCTCTGCCATTTCTTGCCAAACCACCACTCCTCTCAGCATCTCTCTCTCGATCCACGCCACTGTTTTTCTTTTTAATGACAATAATATGAATTCAAACGGACAAATAATACATCATCGCTATTTTAGGCCAAATTCATTAAATGCGGCTAAATCCAGGGACTGTCATGCAATTCTTGATTGTTTCGAGCAGTTTTTCTTTAAAGGCACGCACGCTCAATAGAATTAGCTCACGCGCTTGATATGCACATTAGACGGAAAACAGCGGATTTCGATGGACTATAGTCCGGACGATTGGCGTCCGTGAGTTCCACGCGCCGTACATGCGCGTGAGTTTTGTTTCTCCTCGCGATTAAATAATTGGGCTTCGACTCTAATTTAATCTATAGTAAAAGCCCAGTAAAACTTACGGCCCACAGGTTTACGATAACATGTTTTTATATATATATAACTATTCGAGTTAATAATATGTAAACAAATTATTCATTTAAATAAATAAATTACCTTTCTGTTTTTCCACCCATATTTACCTTCCCACCAGAATTTAGATTTCCTAACGAAGATTGTATTATTATCTATTTAATATTTATAGGTGTTAATTTAATAAATTATAAACTCAACTCAACTAATAATTTCTACAATTATTAAAAAAAATCACTATACAAAGCCTTTCCCTTTTTCTTTAAGAACATTTTTTTTTTGTTGCAAATATAAACAAATCTTACCTTGCAGAATATTTCTCTCAAGAGACTGCTCCTAGAACTCGAGCAATGTTTTAAACAAACAAAATCAATATAAAGTGGAGTTCAACAGCGAAAGAGAGAAGATTTAAACCAAACTTTAAGATTCTAGCACAAGAGTTGGTGACGACCAAAGAGAGGAGCATCGACCAGAAAACACAGAAACAGAGAGTATATTAGTGTTCTAAAACTGAACTGGTGGCTCAAGGGGGCATTGTTTTAATCTTCTTCTTCTCCTTCGTTCTCTGCAATGTTGAAGTACCTCAGCTCATAGACGTTCCTGTCCTTGTTCGAAGCTATCACACGAAGCCAATCCCTCACGTTGTGCTTCTTCAGGTACTTCTTTGTCAAGTACTTGAGATACCTAAACTCAGAAATGGCATATATAGGGAATTATTATATGTCAGATATCAGAACCCAGAAGCAGAAAGTGTCCTGAATCCAAGATTTGTATGATATTACTCCATATGAAATAGTAATACAATCTCAGTGACACCCACATCAAGTTTCAGTCCAATGAGACGAACCCAAAAAATATATATATATCTAGAAATCCCGAATCATCACAAAATTCCAACGGTGCACTGAAACACATTGTGAAATTGGCTGGTAAAAGCTTAGGGAACTTGTAACTTGATGGAGTTGGATGTTGTTTATAATATAGCTGTTGTGTATTGTGTAAAATAAGCCAAACCCGAAAATGGTACAAAGACAATACCTCTTGGAGAACTGGCTGTCAGAAGTGACAGTGATCTTGTTCTTGTCACGGGTGATGGTGACAGTATCACCGAGGGCGCCGGCCTTACCCCCCACCTTGATCCTCTCCTGAAGAAACTTCTCAAGCGAAGCAATCTCCATGATTTTGTCCTCGACTGGCTTCGAGCAGTCGATGGTGAAGGACACATTCTTCTTCTTCCCCTTGGGAGCAACTGCACCACCTCGACTCATTTTCTTAACCTTCCTCTGCAACACAAAGAAATGAGAACATGGTTATACACAGAGGGGCATGTGTATGCACACTGGGAAATATACACATTCCTGTCTGTAAGATTGTTCCGTATTTAATGTCGCATATTAATGCAGGGAACAGATTCGACATGAATACAAGGTTCCTCATGTTTTACAAATGAAGCATACAAGAACATTCAGACTACTAGGACCGCTCAAGTTAACTGAAGCACTAAAAACACGGAAAATTCTTTAATCTAAATCATAAATAGATCAAATACAAGACGGTAAAATGGTAAGAACATGCTTCCAGAGGAAAAACAAAATCTCTCTTTCATAAAGCACGGGAAATATATGTGAGACTTGTTTCTCAATCTTCCAAGACGATACTTTTGCCTCACTTCATCAATTATACACCAACAACGAAAAAGCAGCTAAAACAGGAACGAAAATCAGCTGTTTGGATCCCAAGAAAATTCAGAAGCAGAGAGGATGGACACCGAATTCGTTCGTTTACACTGCGCCCTCAAATCTCAGAGAATAACCATCGAATCCGATGCGAAAGTATAGGAACACCCACGAAAGATACAAGAACAGAGTACCTGAAGCTGCGGGGAGAAACCCTAGAAGATGTGCCTGAAGAAAGAAGCGGCGTCCCAAAGCTGGAAGAGGAGAAGAAAATGTCTAGGGTTTTATTACGCATTTAAATTTTAAAGTGTACTTGCAATCTCTTCCTTTTTTCCATTTTATTTTTCTTGAAAAATGACAACAACGCCCGTAGTATTATTTAAATTACGCATTAACCCCATAAGTTTCTATTAAAACCAGACCAACCTTGTCTCTTGCCTTTATTTTAATTTGCTGGCTCCAAATTACCGGTTTCCTTTGTAAAGGAAGCACCATAAAATGCAAATACTAGTTGTCATCGAAATGCTTGGAGTATTTGTAGATTATACAACCAAGTCTTTTATAAAATGCAGATGCTTTTCACATGTGATGTTTTGGAGTGCCATGTAAAATGCTGATATATGGTTGCAATCGGTGATGAATGCAACAAATTAGAAATTATTTTGACACAAAAATCTGTATAGATGGGTACATATACACATCGATACAATCATATCATGAGCAAATCGGGCATATATAAGGGGTATTAACTCATTAAAAGACAATATGAGCATATGATTTGCTCTTACAAGTTGCAAAGTGCAGTAACAAATAACCCAATATAACCCATCTAGTAAACGATTAAAGAATCGAATTGGTTACTATAAAGACGAAACCTTTCTCTTATTTTCTGTAACAATCATGAAATTTTCGCCAGAGGGCTAACAAAAACTTCACTGGCCAGCTTTGTGAGACTAGTGGCTTCTGATTTAGGATTCAGGGTTTCAGTCCTTGTGAGACAAGTTATCCTGCGGCAGAAACTTGGGGTAGCGGTCCTTACCACCGGTTTTGTGGTCGTAGTATTCAACTGCGGCTGCTCCAGCCAGGGCAGCCAACGTCAGCGCCTGAGCGTGCAACCTGAGAAGAACCCATTAAGAAATTTGTGAGGTATGATGATGATGATGATCATACATTGGATAACGATAAGAGTGACGTGAAAAGAACCCAAGAAAGAAAACGGTTAATTTTATCACGACTGATTGCAGTTTCTACCCTCCCCAACAAGTCCATAGAGCTGAAACTCTAAACATACATTATAGTTGTTCCAGTTCCACAATATATATGTACATACACTGATACTCACACACACACGAAAGGAACATTTCATATGTTGGTCAAATACATGGGAATGGGCAGGAGTATGCATGATGGAAGCTGGAGTTGCTGGTTGGAGCAGTATATGCAAGCATTTGGATAGTGAATTGCGGTTCAAGATGATTGGATGCCCATAATAAAATTATATGTTTAGACATGTAAGAGCAAAAACGCTAAAGCGGATCTATACGGCTTCCTTCCATGGAAACTATAAATAACAAGAGCTTATAACTTTGATTAAACAGGGCAATTTATTAAAAAAAATGACTGGAAATTGGCTGCAAGAATGAGAAAACACAAAAGTTGCACCACTTCTTTCTAGTTTCTAAGATACCTTAATACATTCAGCAAAATCCATGCTTCATCACAAGATTCACAACAAAGATTGTGTGTCGGGCAGGAAATGAGCATTTAGAACATCTAATATCACTATAGTATTGACCAAGGACAAGAAACAATAAATTCGAATGCTTTAGAGATGAACACACGATGGCATTACATTCCTAATCCTTTTTGTTTTATGGTTATAGAGAACAGAGAATAAAAATTTCTTCAATGCAGATTTCTTGACCATTTAGAGATCAAAAGAATCTGAGCTTCTCACATGGGATCATAATATTAACAAATATCCAAATCTTGAACCATCAAACACCATCTGGTGAGAGATCAAAACTATAAACTCGATTAGGAAATTCAGGAACTTTGATTATATAGATAGCTTACCTAGCGTGGATGATCTTGACACTGGTTTTCATGGCGGGCTGAGACCAGTTATAGGCGATTGAACCCGTGATGCCACTAAGCCATAAACACCCTGCACAGGATCGAGTCCGTACAAAAGAGATCAGAATTAGCACAAAACCACCACATGATTTCATAAAACAAACGCAATACGCATCCTCATCTCGCATGTCACCAACCTTCAAATCACAAAGAAGAGAAAAACTTGAACACGCAAAAACCCTAAAAGAATGATCAAACCCAGATAACCAATCTCGGAAAAAACACCAAAATCCTAACTAAGATGAATCATAACGAAACAAAACATAAGGGAAGATATAACCAAATCACAGCCCAAAGAGGCGACTCGAGATCCGGATCAAACCCAACATTGAACAAATGAGAAAACATAAATCACATGAAGAAGTGATTCGCGTTATCTTACGGCAAAACCACCCACGGGAATTCGAAGGACGAACAAACGAGGGGAAAAAGAGAAGGAGAGGGCAATTACCGACGGTACGAAGCTTGTGCTCGGAGACCCATGCTCTGATTTCCTCAAATTTGGTCTTTGATTCCGCCATTGCTTGCAAATAAAATTTCTAAAAAGATCGACACAGAGAGAACGAGAGGTCTCAGGACGGCCCCCTTTTAAAGCGCCCGAGACGGAGAGATTGCGTGAGCAAGGGAAGAGAAACCCAATTTGCTAACTTGCGCCTCAACGCTGAATTCCTTCCTCGCTGTCCTGTCTCTATGAATTTTCAATTTCCCTCTGATTCTTTCTATAATTTAATTTAATTTAATTTATTTTATTTTTCATCTTGACTGGGGTCTCAGGTAAAAACCAAAGGGCAAATACCGGCGGCGACAAAACAAACTGCTTCATCGAAACCACTGTTTTTTTTCAAGCCAGTTTTGAAAATTATTCCCCACGACTCAAACGCCATTGTTGATCAATTAGCATAAATAAAATCATTTTTTTAATTTAGGGTACTTTTGACTTCTGAATTCACCTTCAAAGGTCAGAGAAATCTCGATCCACACGTGTACATGTGCATGCAAATTGGATGGGGGTGAATCGACGAGTGACTTCAAATGCATCTGGACACTAAACTACTTCTAAAACCAAACAAAAGGATCCAAATTTTCAAAGATGCCATAAACCAAGGGAGAAAAAGCACGAAGCTTTATGACACGGAAACGATCCAAACACAAACTTCATCGGAGAAAAGGAGTTTGGAGAGAGGGTTTGATATCCACTTTGACACCCTCTCTTACCCACAGTTTAACCGAATGTTCCATGACCCACCTCCGACCCCTTACCCGTCCCGCGCCCTGACTAGCTCGAGCATGGCCGTGGCTGCAGCCACCGCTAGGGACAGGATTCAGAGACCGAGGACACGGAGGCAGGGCCAGTCACAGCCTCTCCAAAGCATTACATACCATTGTTCTGTTTTTTTTTTGAGTTTCTCAACCATCACATAACTTGGGGGGGCAGTTTTCGGGTCTCAAATCATATACCAATGTTTCTCTGTTTAAGAGTTTCAGGACCATAACCGGGGAAAGGTCCGTTTCTACGATGACCCTCCTCCATGTCTCTGGTGGAAGCTTCCGGATCCTTCCGGAAATGCGGATGTCCAACGGGACGACGAGTCTCTGTCGATCTGGTTCCCCGACACCACTGGCTGGGTTGGCTGCAGAAACTGATCTCTCTCCCATATGTTAAACCTTATGAACCCGCCACCGGCACCTGCTTGATCTGATGAAGAAGCCACCGATCCCATCCCGGAAGATATTCCTCTTGAGGATCTCCGGCCAGATGGGTAAGCCGGTGGTGCCCTGGAAACAGCCGGTGGCTCACTCGGGTGTGGGTGCGACTGAGCCGGTGACTGCTGGTAGTAAGCTTGAAGGGCTTGTACTCTGTCTCGGTTCCTAGCGCTGCTCCCTGGATAAGGTGGAGCCCTCGGTGCAGCTGCTGAGCTCCCGGCTCTCCCACCAGAGCTGCAAAACCATCAATCCTCATTCATAGTGTTTTGAACCAAATTAAAATGTCTGTTCATGAAATCAAGAATGTTTCCAGCTCAATGAGTCTTCTTCTAGGATCATCCTTCACAAGATTCCGAAGAGTTCTACAACTTGTAATACGCTCTTTTAGTACGCTCTTCAAATATCAAGCAGCATCATTTTCGTAAGCACTAAGTAAACTATATCTGTAAAATGATTTAGGTTAAGCATAGAAAACCACCATACTTTGACAAATCCAACGTTTGGTTATGCTTCGATCCAAAGCGTGTAATTTGTGTTTTTGGGTAAAGTTAAAAAAGACATTATTACCTGTGACCAAGAAAGGGACGCATATAATGAGGCGGCCTGGGCCTGTTCACATCAGAGCTCGTCCGTGAAGTCCTCGGAGCCACCTGTGAAGCTGTCGGCTGAGGCGGGGCGCCAATAT